GGCCCTCGGAGCTGCCTGAGCCACCTGGGATCATGTCACGTTGCAGCTCTGGCCAGGGAAATTAGCAGTTATCAGTAATTAGGTAAGCAACTGGGTTCTGGGAGTCTGGGTCCCCACATGGGCACTGGGTCAGGCTCCGTGCTCCCGCTGGGGCAAAGCAAGCACCCCAAAACTAGCCACCCCCCCCCCACGTTGTCACCCCATGGTAGGGGGGGTTGCAGGGGGGGGGTGACACGATGCTGGACGAGTCCAGCACAGCTTGTGTGCAGTGTCCCCCAGGCTGGAGCTGTGCCCCCCCCACCCCAGATTAACTGCATTTAATTACTGCACCCAGGGTTTGGGGGTGAAACGGGCAAATTGGTGTTTCTGGGAGCAGCACCCACGGGGAGGGGGGGGGAAGAGGCTGGAAGGGGGGCAGGTACCCAGGCGAGTGAGGGTCTGGGGTATGAGATGAGCCGGGTGGGGTGTTGGGGACAGGCAGGGGGGCAAGGACAGTGTCACTGTCCCAGGGGCAGGCATTGCCCTGGAGGTCCCTGCCCGCTGTGCCCAGCCCTGCTCGCCCCCGGCTGCCCCACACTGGTCACACCAGCCCTTTGTCCAGCAGCTCGGGGACGACAGAATCATAGAATGGTCTAGGTTGGAAGAGACCCTTGGGATCATCGAGTCCAACCATCTCCCCTACTCTACAAAGTCCTCCCCTACACCATGTCCCTCAGCACTGCATCTAAACGGCCCTTAAACACAGCCAGGGATGGGGACTCCACCCCCTCCCTGGGCAGCCTGTTCCAATGCCCTGTCACTCTTTTGGTGAAAAATTCTTTCCTAATGTTCAATCTAAACCTACCCTGTTGGAGCTTGAAGCCGTTCCCTCTCGTTCTGTCACTAATTACCTGTGAGAAGAGACCAGCCCCAACCTCTCTACAGTGTCCTTTCAAGTAGTTGTAGAGAGTGATGAGGTCTCCCCTCAGCCTCCTCTTCCTCACACTAAACAGTCCCAACTCCCTCAGCCGCTCCTCAGACGATTTGTTTTCCAGCCCCCTCACCAGCTTCGTTGCCCTCCTCTGCACTCGCTCCAGCACCTCCAGATCTCTCTTGGATTGAGGTGCCCAAAACTGGACACAACACTCGAGGTGTGGCCTCACCAGTGCTGAGTACAGGGGCACAATCACCTCCCTACTTCTGCTGGTCACACTATTTTTGATACAAGCCAGGATGCCATTGTTTTTCTTGCCCCCCTGGGCACACGGCCGGCTCATATTCAGCCGTTTGTCAATGAGAACCCCCAGGTCTCTTTCCTCCAGGCAGCTCCAGCCACACTTCCCCCAGCCTGTAGCGCTGCAGGGGGTTGGTGTGGCCCAAGTGCAGGACCTGGCACTTGCCCTTGTTGAAACTCATTCCATTGGCATTGGCCCAGTGATCCAGTCTATCTAGATCCTCTTGCAAAGCTTCCCTATCCTCCTGGGAGTCAACACTTCTGCTTCTGCCCCAAACCCCGAGTCTGCAACCCCGGGCCCAGCCCTGGGGGCTTCCCCGCTCCTCTGGTCCCCCCCACACCATCATCCCCATCCTGCCAACCCTGGCTTGTGTGAATTGAGCCATGGGGGGGAAGCCACAGACAGGGCTAGTAGCCACACTGGCCTTCCCCGGAGGTGCAGTGGTTTATTGGTGGGTACACAGCTTGGTGGGGGGACACAAGTCCGGTCCCAAAGCCATTGCAATGGCTGCAGAGGCTGCCACTGGGGCCGGGGCCACAAATACTTAGTAATCCTTTCTTTCTTTTCTATAAAACACTATTCACCATCCCTAGGAGGTGGCCCAGGGTGGCTGTGGTGAGCTGGGCATGGGGAACCACAGCTGGGCAGAGCCATGGCCCCCAGCCCCTCTCACCCTCCTGGGGAGCATCAGCCTGTCCTCTGAGCTGGAAGGAAGAGGAGGATGGAGAGGAAGAGGAGCTGGGGTGCGGGAGGGGCTGAGGGCTGCTGGGATGTGGCTACCAGCCCAGTGCTCCCCTCCACAGGCCAGGCTGCCACCCCCAAAAGCGCTGCTGGGGGGGGGGGGGTGCCAGCTCCCCCTGGGCAGCACAGAGCCGGTCGTGGGCGAGAGGGGGGAATAAATAAATTAACATGAAAAGAGCAAAAGGGTAAAAAGCTGCCTGGGAGGGTGGGTGGCAGCCCCCGGCGGGCCATGGGAGGGGATGAGGGACAGGGAGGTGACAGAGGGGAGGGGAGGTGATGGCTGTGCCCAGAGCTGTGTCCTTGGAAAGCGCTGCCCGGGGTCAGTTGTTGTTCATGATCCACCAGGAGGCTGGGGGGAGAGAGGGGACGGGGTCAGGGACACGGGGTCACCGGTACATGAGGAAAAGGGGGCGGGGGGACGCAGAGATGGGGGGGCCAGCCCCATTCAGGGGGGAGCTGAGGCTTTTCTGCAGGACCCTGGCACTCAGAAGCCACCACCCCGGGGTGAGGAGCACGGCTACGGGATGGGCTGGAGATGGGTGACCCGCTGGAGCTATGGGAGCACTGGGAATGCAGCCAGGGGGACCAGCAGGAGCGCTGCCAGGATGGGATTTAATCCAAATTACTCCGTATTCCACATTATTTTATCCATGACCCAAGAGTGGTAGCAAATTAGGGCTTAATTTGGCTTTACCCATCACCAGGCTCTCCCAGTTTCTGACATCTCGGTCAGGTTTCTACTGGTATCACTGGGAACGTCCATCTTCCCCGAGCTGGTCCCTCCCCAACACTGTGGAGCCATAAAACAAAACTGGGCCTGACACAGGAGGGGCTTCGGGGGGTTTTGGGGCTGGGATGTGTTCCAGACAGGGCTCTGGGAAGTGCCCTCAGCCACGTGGCTGTCCCACCTGCACAGTGTCCCCCCGGGGCAGGGACAGGCCCCCCCCAAGCACTGCCAGCACCCACAACCACCCTGCCAGGGGAAACAGGTCTCTGGTTTCAAAAAAACACAATTTAGGTGACTCCCAACTAATTTCCTGCTCTGGAAGGAGCCAAGTGACCTGTTCCCTGCACTGCTCCCACTCTCTGTAGCTGCTGTGGGACTGTGGGGCTCCAGCAGCCCCCCCCCCAGGTTGTCCCCACGGCCCCTCTCACCTGGGAAGAGCATGGTGGTCAGCAGCTCCGGGGACTCCAGCAAGCTGATGATGGACCGCTGGAAAGTCTTGCTGCAGCTGGACTGCAAGTGGCTGTAAAGCAGGGCACAGGGTCAGGGGGGGTGCAGGGTTTGTGGGTGCCTCGTGGCTGCAGGAGATCCCACACACAGGGGGGACAGCTGCTTTGGCACCCCCACATCCCTTAATGGGGTGTTGACCCCCATCTCCACCACCAACACCCCCAGGGACAGGCTGAGCAGCCACAGCAGCAGGACAAGGAGAGGGAGAAGTGGGGTCCCCTGTGGAGCCCCAAGAGGAAACCCCTTTCAGCCCCCCCACCCCACCCCGGAGCATCCGGACCCAGCCCCATACAAGGGAAGCCTCCAACCTTCTCCAGGAAGTCACATCCTGCCAGAACTCGTAGAGGATGAAGCAGGCCTCGTCCGACAGCTTGCAGGCAGAGACGCTGCGGGGACAGGAGGGACACTGAGAAGCGCCCTGGCAGGGACGTGTGTGTGCCAGAGAGGTAATTTCGGGGAGCCAGGGGCACAGGTCTGTGCGTGGGCACAACCACGAGGCTTTCAGAGCCAGAGTCTGTGGTCACCAGAGCTGGCACGCTGCTCCAGGGGACCCTGAAGAGCAGCCTCGAGGAGAGGGACTTGGGGATGTTGGTGGAAGAGAAGATCAACATGAGCCAGCAACGTGCGCTGGCAACCTGGACAGCCCCCCACATCCTGGGCTACATCAGAAATGTGTGGGCACCAGGGCGAGGGGGGGGATTCTGCCCCTCTGCTCTGGGGAGACTCCCCCCCAGTGCTGCCTCCAGCTCTGGGGCCACCAACAGCAGAAGGACATGGAGCTGTTGGAGTGGGGCCAGAGGAGGCCACAGAGATGCTGGGAGGGCTGGAGCCCCTCTGCTGGGAGG